TGATACGAAATTTTGCACCACCAAAAATTCTTGAATGAATGAGTTTTCTCTCTTTATACCCTTCACCACACTGTGGTACAGGGTATTATGTCTTTGTGCATATGTTTGTAACAGGCAAAAGGAAACGAGATAGACACATGGTTCCTTTTGAGAATATGCATAGAATCACTTTCTGAGTCGATTTATGCATGTCCGTCCGTCCGTCCGTCCGTCCGTCCGTCCGTCTGTCCGTCCGTCCGTCTGTCCATGTTAAATTGTAAACAAAGTACAGGTCGCATTTATGATCCGAATTGGATGAAATTTGGCATAGGTCACTTATTCGGCCCAAGGACGAACCCTATTGAAATTGGGAAAAATCGGTTCAGATTTAGATATAGCTCCCATATATATATTTAACCGATTTAATGTAAACGGTCCCTATATATCTTTCGATTTACACGAAATTTGGTACAGCCTAATCATTTAGGTCTAGAATGATGTCTGCCAAGTTTCGTGAAAATCGGTCCAGATTTAGATATAGCTCCCATATATAGTTTCGTCCGATTTCATGTAAATGGTGCCCCAAAGTCCCTATATATCTTTTGATTTGCACGAAATTTGGTATAACGTGCTGAATTAAGCCTAGAGTGATGTATGCCAAGTTTGGAGAAAATCGGTCCAGATTTAGATATAGCTCCCATATATAGTTTCGTCCGATTTCATGTAAATGGTGCCCCAAAGTCCCTATATATCTTTCGATTTGCACGAAATTTGGTACAGCCTAATCATTTAGGTCTAGAATGATGTCTGCCAAGTTTCGTGAAAATCGGTCCAGATTTAGATATAGCTCCCATATATAGTTTCGTCCGATTTCATGTAAATGGTGCCCCAAAGTCCCTACATAACTTTCGATTTGCACGAAATTTGTCATAACGTACTGAATTGAGCCTAGAATGATGTCTGCCAAGTTTCGTGAAAATCGGTCCAGATTTAGATATAGCTCCCTTTTATTATAGATTGATTTTAAGTAATTGACGTACTAAGGAACCAATTGGAATAAAACGTTCTGAAAGTTGTATAACCTAACCTGTGACAAGTTTGTTTGAAATCGCTCAATATTTGGATAGAGCTTCCATATATATTTTCGCCCGATTTCTAGTAAATTGGGCATCAAACTCCTCATGTTAGTCAGATTGACATCAAATTTTGCACAACTTAAAAAATTGAGCATAGAATTACGTAGTTGCGTTTTCTAGAAGTGCAGACATAGCCCAACGGATGACCTATTTATATTTGTTTGAAGTCGATTGACATACTTTATGGATAGATCTAGGTAGATTCACATTTAGATAAATATTACTTTTTTTCATCCAATTTTATGTTATAGTCCTGCTTAATATACCCATAGTGGTGAAGGGTATCATATAGTCGGCCCCGTCCGACTTTACTACTTTCCTTACTGGTTTTTCCATACAGACTACAATATTTTTCTTCAATGGTATGCAACTGCATATTGTGCAACCTTAGGAAGATAAGGAGGTGGCTTTGAATGCTAAGGCGACGGACATCAACAGATGCCATGGGAACCAGGGTTCAAATCCCAGCCGGGCTCAAGCTGAATTTTTTGGATTTTTGTTTTTATGCCTTTTTATGGCGAAGGATCATTCATGTAAATGTTTTTCTTATTAATTTCTCTTTCGATATGAGCTACATGATCGGAGTTGCAATGAAAAGGAAAGCCAGAGAGATACTACATTCCCACCACTATGCGACAATAATAAATTTTATTGGGCTTAAAAAAATTCCCGACTCCAATCTAGTCTTGAAAAATATTTTAAAAAAAAATGCTCGCCTTTGGAAACGCATTAAAAAATATATTTGAAAAAAAAAATCCATACCTTCTGGGAGCCTTAGGATATATTTTTTTAAAATAATCCCCGCATTTGATGGAGCCTTGAGAACATATTTTAAGAAAAATATACCCCTTTTTGGAACATTGAAAACTATTAAAAAAATCCACGACATCGTTGGAGGCGTGAAAAAATATTTTTTAAAAATTGAAGCATTTTGTGGGGCCTTGAAAAAAAAAACGTTAAAAATCCAAGCCTTTATTGGAGCTTTGAAAAAATATTTTTAAAACATCGATAAATTTCTTTGGAGCCTTGAAAAACAAATTTTCAAAAAATGCAAGTCTTTGTGGGAGCCTTCAAATATTACTTAAAAAAATCACGGCTATTTTGAGACATAGAAAAAACTATTTAAAAAAAGCACGCATTTGTTGGAGACTAAACATTTTTTATTTATTTTTTTTTTTTGTGGGCCATTAAAAAATATTTTTAAAAAATGCACGCCATTGCAAGGGCATTTTGAAAAATATTTTTAAAACCAGTAAGGAAAGTAGTAAAGTCGGACGGGGCCGACTATATGATACCCTTCACCACTATGGGTATATTAAACAGGACTATTAACATGTAATTGGATGAAAAAAAGTAATATTTATCTAAATGTGAATCTACCTAGATCTATCCATAAAGTATGTTAATCGACTTCAAACAAATATAAATAAGTCCGTTGGGCTATGTCTGTACTTCTAGAAAACGCAACTACGTAATTGTATGCTCAATTTTGTGCGTTGTGCACAATTTGATGTCAATCTGACTAACATGAGGAGTCTGATGCCCAATTTACTTGAAATCGGTCGAAAATATATATGGAAGCTCTATCCAAATATTAAGCGATTTCAAACAAACTTGTCACAGGTTAGGTTATACTAATTTCAGAACGTTTTGTTTCTATTGGTTCCTTAGTACGTCAATTACTTAAAATCAATCTATAATAAAAGGGAGCTATATCTAAATCTGGACCGATTTTCACGAAACTTAGCATCATTTTAGGCTCAATTCAGTACGTTATGACAAATTTCGTGCAAATCGAAAGTTATATAGGGACTTTGGGGCACCATTTACATGAAATCGTACGAAACTATATGTGGGAGCTATATCTAAATCTGGACCGATTTTCACGAAACTTAGCATCATTCTAGGCTCAATTCAGTACGTTATGACAAATTTCGTGCAAATCGAAAGTTATGTAGGGACTTTGGGGCACCATTTACATGAAATCGTACGAAACTATATGTGGGAGCTATATCTAAATCTGGGCCGATTTTCTCGAAACTTGGTAGACATCATTCTAGGCTCAATTCAGTGCGTTATGCCAAATTTCGTGCAAATCGAAAGTTATATAGGGACTTTGAGGCACCATTTACATGAAATCGGACGAAACTATATATGGGAGCTATATCTAAATCTGGACCGATTTTCTCCAAACTTGGCAGACATCACTCTAGGCTTAATTCAGTACGTTATGCCAAATTTCGTGCAAATCAAAAGATATATAGGGACTTTGGGGCACCATTTACATGAAATCGTACGAAACTATATATGGGAGCTATATCTAAATCTGGACCGATTTTCTCGAAACTTGGTAGACATCATTCCAGGCTCAATTCAGTACGTTATGCCAAATTTCGTGCAAATCGAAAGTTATATAGGGACTTTGAGGCACCATTTACATTAAATCGGACGAAACTATATATGGGAGCTATATCTAAATTTGGACCGATTTTCTCCAAACTTGGCAGACATCACTCTAGGCTTAATTCAGTACGTTATGCCAAATTTCGTGCAAATCGAAAGTTATATAGGGACTTTGAGGCACCATTTACATGAAATCGGACGAAACTATATATGGGAGCTATATCTAAATCTGGACCGATTTTCTGCAAACTTGGCAGACATCACTCTAGGCTTGATTCAGTACGTTATGCCAAATTTCGTGCAAATCAAAAGATATATACGGACTTTGGGGCACCATTTACATGAAATCGTACGAAACTATATATGGGAGCTAAATCTAAATCTGGACCGATTTTCTCCAAACTTGTTAGACATCATTCTAAGAACAATTCAGTACGTTATGCCAAATTTCGCGCAAATCGAAAGATATATAGGGACTTTGGGGCACCTTTTACATGAAATCGGACGAAACTATATATGGGAGCTATATCTAAATCTGGACCGATTTTCTCCAAACTTGGCAGACATCACTCTAGGCTTAATTCAGTACGTTATACCAAATTTCGTGCAAATCAAAAGATATATAGGAACTTTGGGGCACCATATACATGAAATCGGACGAAACTATATATGGGAGCTATATCTAAATCTGGACCGATTTTCACGAAACTTGGCAGACATCATTCTAGACCTAAATGATTAAGCTGTACCAAATTTCGTGCAAATCGAAAGATATATAGGCGCCGTTTACATTAAATCGGTTAAATATATATATGGGAGCTATATCTAAATCTGAACCGATTTTTCCCAATTTCAATAGGGTTCGTCCTTGGGCCGAATAAGTGACCTATGCCAAATTTCATTCAATTCGGATCATAAATGCGACCTGTACTTTGTTTACAATTTAACATGGACAGACAGACAGACAGACGGACAGACGGACGGACGGACGGACATGCATAAATCGACTTAGAAAGTGATTCTATGCATATTCTCAAAAGGAACCATGTGTCTATCTCGTTTCCTTTTGCCTGTTACAAACATATGCACAAAGACATAATACCCTGTACCACAGTGTGGTGAAGGGTATAAATATCCGAATCTTCATGGGAGCTTTGAAGAAAATATTTTTTTTTAAATCAATGCCATTTTTTTGAGTGCTCAAAAATTGTTTTTAAAAAAATACACCTTTGTTGGAGCTTCAAAAACATTAAAAAAACAACACGCCTTGTTGGGGTTTACGGTGAATATTTCGAGGTGTTGCAAAGGGAGAAACGAAAGCCACCGTTCTATGGTGGAGGGGACACAAAAAAAATTTGCGTTGTTTTTATTTTTGCGGAATATTTGTTTCTGATAAGCCTGCCTCGAAGTCAACATGTAATGTTCGCAATGTCGCCACTCATCAGTTTGCATTAGAACCTCGATCGGAATAGATTAATCAAAATGAAAATCAAAGCTATTCTTTTATTCGTAGTAATAATATTACAAATAATAGTGGGAAATAAGGCAGACGACAATGTCGTTGCCTCGACCGTCAGTACCATAGTTGAGGAAGACACCACTACCATATCCGGCGACATGAGTCACCTCTTGAAGAATGACACCACTATGGTCCCCAACGATGACACAACCATTCCCGAAAACACCACTATCATCTCCGACGAAGACAATACTACCACTGAAAAATATTATGTAATTATAATTCCAGAATCTAGAATTAGAAATATTTCAATAAAATTTAATTTACAATCAACATTTCAGAATCCCTACGAAGACGAATATCAACTGTTTCTGTGGAAGAATTTATTTCTAAAGGTGAATGATCTATTGGTGGAGACGAAGAACATGAACAGAGAAACGAAGGAAATGTACAACGAAACGAAGGAAATGCACAGCGAAATAAATAGACTAAACACCAATCTGTTAGATGTGAATCAGAAGTTAGTATTTGGAACTGAAAATTAAGTGAATTAAATTTTAAATGATCTTGATTTTAATCTCCTATTTTATTTCAGAATTGATGATTTGACCAAAAGGTAAGATACTCTACCCCACGATAAACTTTCTTAGAACACTTAGGGTGTTCGAAAAATCGTACCAACCTACCCTCAAAAAATTCCACGACAAAGAAACCAAAATATCCAATCCTTAAAATGCTTGAATATTCAATATCAAAATTGTATACGAATATATTGACGATTAATCACATTTGTCTTATTTACAGGCAAGGGGAACTGGAAGGGAACATGGCAAAAATAGTGGAGCAACAAATGTCATCGATGAATGTCACCTTGATGGAGAGGTATGTATTAAAGCTATTTTAAGAGACCAATGTACTTTAAGGGCTTAGGGAAAAATCAATTCAGATTTAGATATAGCTCCCATATATATATTCGTCCGATTTTATGTAAATGGTGCAACAAAGTTCCTATATATCATTCGATTTGCACGAAATTTGACATAGCCTTCTAAATTGAGTCTAGAAGGACTTGTGTAGTTTAGATATAGCTCCCGTATATAGTTTCTTCCTATATTAAGACCCATAGTTATGAATATGTTGACGATTAATTACATTTGTTTTATTTTCAGGCAAGAGGAACTGGAAGGGAACGTGGCAAAAATAGTGGAGCAACAAATGTCATCGATGAATGTCACCTTGATGGAGAGGTATGTATGAAAATATTTACAGAGACCAGTGTATATTAAATGTGTCACTCCGTTTGCATCACCTCGAAATATTAATCGGAGATCCAAATAGATTATATATATATATATATATATCCATGATCAGATTAAATGTATGTCGCCTCATCATGAAGATGGCCCGCTGGTGACATGAGAAGACACCCAGTATTCTAGCAGGTTCTGGTGCAGGGGACACAAAAAAACATTTTCGTTGTTTTTATTTTTGTGGAATATTTGTTTCTGATAAGCCTGCCACGAAGTCAACATGTAATGTTCGCAATGTCACCACTCATCAGTTTGCATTAGAACCTCGATCTTGATAGAATATTCAATATCAAAATTTTATTCGAATATGTTGACGATTAATCACATTTGTTTTATTTACAGGCAAGGGGAACTGGAAGGGAACATGGCAAAAATAGTGGAGCAACAAATGTCATCGATGAATGTCACCTTGATGGAGAGGTATGTATGAAAGTGTTTACAGAGACCAGTGTATATTAAATGTGTCACTCGGTTTGCATCACCACGAAATATTGATCGGAGATCCAAATAGATTATATATATCCATGATCAATATAAACATGTTGTTGAATGTGACCGCGAGAATATTGGGGTAGTGTATGGTCGGAATTTCGTGTCCCTATCTGCTTTTATGGCGTTTCCGGAACTCCACGTACGACTGGGGTCCACACAGTTGAATATCCAACGTTGAAAACTCGGCCGAAGGAAAGTGTTCTAAATGTCCTCGAAAGTGTTCTCAATGTCCTGTGGCATGATTGACTGTATCAATTAAAATAACTGGCGCATCTCTTCGAATCAGTCACAGTTTTGTCGTTAGATGTGACTGAGGTTCTATCATTATCCTTCTTACCAGGCTTCGAGAGCGATTTAACCCTTGCCCACAGTTATCTCACACCGGTTCCAATTTTGCACCTCTTCAGATGTTCCAACCATTTATTCCGCTTTTGATCCGCGACTAATCTGCTAACCTCGAACGTGATTTGCAGGGTTAGATCGGCGGAGCTCATCACGTTCATTGGCTAGACCAACTGTCTCTGTAGGCTTCAAGTGCGATTAAACCCCTGCCCACAATTTACTCACTCCGGTTCGGTTTTGAAACTCTTCAGATGATCCAACCATTTATTCCGCTTATGCTCCGCGACTAATCTGCTAACTTCGAACGTGAGTTCCCTGACCCTCGGATCGGCTGGGTGAGATCAGGGTCATTGGCTAGACCAACTGCCTATGTTGGGAAATTAGGTCTCATTTCGGGTATTCGACCATGAGGTAAAAATCCAGAGGCTGCAGCTGCAATGATTACCGGGTTTAATGCGGGATGATATTGCTTGTGTATCCACACGCCGTAGTTCACCTATAGTTTTTGGTTATGATCGGTAAATATTTGGAGGATCACATAAAACAAAATCGTTATTTTTCTATAGACGATACATTTATAATTCGAACACCAGGAAATATTACAGGGAATCGATCCCGTCACTAACAAATTTCAAGCTCAATCTTCAAAATGCCATAGGCATTTTTATTTCAATTTAGTTTTGTTCGAATATCCTATGGAGTCCATTTAACAATCATTTTTATTTCCAGACAACGACAACAAGAAATCGATGTGAAGGCAATACTACAGGTTGCTTCGAAAGTGAATGCCACCATGAACGAGGAAGCCAGGAGGCTTGATATAAATTATCAGTATAAGTCGGTAGGGTCAGTACAGGTAAAGTGAATTGTGAACAAACTTCCAGGTACATAGTTGAAACTGATTAAAATTGCTTTAGATCTAAATATACATATCTGCCATAAATAGGTATGACCGATTCCAAACTAGTTCTGTTTTGTTGAAATCGGTTCAGATTTAAATATAGTTACCACATTTCTACAGATTTTATGTTAATTATGCAGGAAATACTGACCAATATTGGATTCAAATGTCGATGTAGTTCCTGTTAAATATACAGCTCTTTTTTATTCCCTTCACCACACTGTGGTACAGGGTATTATGTCTTTGTGCATATGTTTGTAACAGGCAAAAAGAATCGAGATAGACCCGTGGTTGCTTTTGAGAATATGCATAGAATCACTTTCTGAGTCGATTTACGCATGTCCGTCCGTCCATGTATTTTTGTGAACAAAGTGCATGTCGCATTTGTGATCCGATTTGCATGAAATTTGGCACAGTTCACTTATTTGGCCCAAGGACGAACCCTTTTGAAATTGGAAATCATATACAGTTTTGTCCGATTGAGACGAAATTTTGCACAGAGTCCTGAATTAGATCTCGATTGATGGAATCGGTTCAGATTTATATATAGCTCCCATATATAGTTTCGTCCGATTTTATGTAAATGGAGCGCCATTCAACTTAGCACACATCATTCTAAGCTTAATTCACTACGCTGTGCCAAATTTCGTCCAAATCGAAGGATATGTAGCGACTTTGGTGCACCATTTACCTAAAATCGGACGAATCGGGAGCTATATCTAAATCTGAACAGGTTTTCTCCAATTTTAAACATATGCACAATGCCGTAATACCCTATGCCACAGTGTGGTGAAGGGCATAATAAACTATTTGTTTTAATAATACAGTTTGACTGCCTCATCAGGGTTGCATGTGGGATTTTAGACTCTTATCGTAAAACACCCCAACGATCAAATCTTCTGTAATACTTAATTCTGTTCAAAATATTTTTCTCGGTCGATATCATGCGAATAGTGCACCAACACTCGTAAGCAACGCCTGTCCGATGGAGATGACATTTCCCTGTAGGGAAATGATTTTAAACTAACTTTAAACTAATTTTAAAGTAGTCACTACTAGTCCATTTATCGATTACTAGCATATGTCCGCTACTTCGTTAGCGAATGTGGGATATATTTAAACATATATTAATATATTATTTTATTTTCACAGAAAACTGCATATGTCAGAAAAACTAAGCTATACACACAATTATATCGACCATACCATTTATATCGATCATTGAGTACCATTTAGTACCAAATTTTATGATTCGAGCTCTACAGGTTCATCCAAATCCGAATTTTACCAAATTTAACACACATTATTTCCAAGAGTACCAACCTCAACCATCCAACAAAACTTCCTGCATACCCTATCCTACACCCTCACAATGATTCCAAATTTAAATTTCAGGATTCCATGTCTATGATTCACCCACTATTTAAATTGTACCAAATTTAGTACACAATAGTACGAATATCCAATACTTCCTACTTAACCCAAACCCACATCCCCACAGTTATTCTAAATCCAAGTTGTAGAATTCCAAATCTATCGGTTCATCCACAATACAATTTGTACCAAATTTAGTACAAAGTAGTACTAATTTCCAAACCTTCCTATTTAACCCAAACCTATACCCCCACAGTGATCTTAAATCCAAGTTTAAGGATTCCAATTCTATCGGTCCACCCACAATTCAAATTGTACCAAATTTAGTACACAGCAGTAAAAATTTTTAAAACTTCCTACATATCTCGATCTTACACCTCAACAGTAATCATGACTACAAATTTTATGATTCTAGCTCTATTGGTTCGCCTAAGACTCAAATTGTATCAAATTTAGTACCATTTAGTACCCATGAATACAAATTGCTTAAACTGAATCCTGACCCCATTCCTCCTACACCTCTACAGTGATCCTGACTCCAAATTTCATTGTTCCCGCTCTATATGATCACCCAAATCCAAACTGCACCGATTATAGTGCGATTTAGTACTTTTCGTACAAATAAGTAACAAATTTTCAAAACTACGTTCATATCCCAATCCTACACTCCGACGGTAATTTTAATTTTAAATTCCAGGATTCCAGCTCCATTTGTACCACCAACTAAAAATTGTACCAATTATGGTCCCATATAGTACTTTTCTTATATATGAGTACGCGATTTCAAAACCACCCCTTTAAATCGATCCTACTTCTCAACCTTAACTCGCATTCAAAATTTCATGTTTTGAGCTCAATCCCTTCACATGCTACGAAATTCTACCAAATTTAGTACATTTTCGTACTTTTCGGATAGTAATAGTTCGAATTTCCAAACACCCTTTGGTACATCTATCCTACACTACACGTACGACCACCAATCAAAATTTCTGAGTTCTAGCTCTACCGGTTCGCCAAATACAAACGGTATCACATTTAATACTATTTAGTACTTTTCTTACCGTTCTAGTACGAATTTCCAAAAACCCAGCCTTACCTGTCACATTTGGACCAAGAGTGACTCTCACCAAAAATTTCAAGATTCTAGCTTCAGAAGTTTCGTCTGGGCGCTGATGAATCGTTGAGTCAGTCAGTCAATTACTTTACCCTCCTATTAGTATAGAGTTTCCTTTGGACCAACTGACACCAAAGTCCCTATATATCTTTCGAATTGCATGAAATTTGGCATAGAGTACTGAATTAGGTCCAGAATGATGTGTGTTGAGTTTCGTTAAAATCGGTTCAGATTCAGATATAGCTCCCATATATAGTTTTGTCCGATTTTATTTAAAGTGTGCCCCGAAGTCCCTATGTATTTTTCGATTTGGGCGAAATTTTGCATAGAGTATTGAATTGAGTGTAGAATGACGTGTGCTACGTTTCGCAAAAATATATCTAAACATGACCCGAGTAAGGTTTAGATATAGCTCCCATATATATTTTTTTTTTCATCCGATTTAAGGTGAATGGGGCGCCAAAGTCCCTATATATCTTTCGATTTGCCCGAAATTTGGTATAGGGTACTGAATTAGGTCCTGAATGATATTTGCTAAGTTTTGTGAAAATCGGTTCAGATTTAGATTTAGCTCCCATATATATTTTCGTCCGAGTTAATGTAAATTGTGCACTAAAGACTCAAAGTTTGGCCGACCGGCACACAAGTTTGTACTATGTACAGAAGTTACTATAATTGAATGTTTTGTACCTCGAAACATTTCTGACACCCTCTTTTATCTATTTGTTCGCTCAGGACATGTGCATTTACAGAAATTTTGTGGTTTTCATACCCTCCACATCGAAATATTAATTTCCGACCCTATAAAGTATATATATTCTTGATCAGGGTAAAATTCTAAGACGATCTAGCCATTTCCGTCAGTCCGTCTGTTGCAATCACGCTATCTTCTAAAGGAATTGAGATAGGGTGCTGAAATTTTGCATAGGGTTGTCTTTTGTCTGCAGGCAGGTCAAGTTCGAAGATGGGATATATCGGCATGACTCCCATATAAGGGTACCCCCCAATTTTCGGTATTTTGAAATTCTTGAGCGCGTTTTTTAACTGAATACGCTGAAATTTGGTACATCGTATTCCGTTGGGTACTAAATGTCTCCACAAAAAATTATAAATATAGGTCCACAGTATATCTACTATTTTTGTTCTGTATTGTATTCACTGGTTCTGTATTCGTATTAAAACTTGATGTTGTTCTGCATATTCATGGGGAGTTACGTGCCTTTGAAATGCAACATACCGAATAGTGTGTGTGTCAAGGTTTCCTCGAATCCGCCCAGATTCACATAATTTTGTACGATCCATATAGATGTTAAATCAAACTGACATCGATTGACGAATGATTGATTGAAGTGGGTTCACCGATCACATTTTCAATTATCATTTGCTGTCAAGAGTCTGCATCATTTTGAAGTTGCCTACTAATGCGAAATTTGTTTTCAATATTTTGTTTTTTCTAGAAAAGACCTTGGGACTTTACGAAATTGGACAACAATTGTCAGACGCATGGACGGCTCTGTCAATTTTTACCGAGGTTGGAATGAGTATAAAAATGGGTTCGGTAATCCACCGCACGGCGAATTCTTTATTGGCCTAGACAGATTGCATGAATTGACGACAGCCGTTCCTAATATCGAACTTAAAGTGATTTTAAGAGATTGGCAGGGTGAGGAACGTTACGCTCACTATGATGGCTTTCGAATAGGAAATGAAGATGAGAAATATCAACTCAAGGTACTAGGCAAATACAGTGGCACTGCTGGTGATTCCTTGGCATATCACAAAGGTGCGAAGTTTTCTACCTTCGATGAGGATAATGATGAATATGGAGGTAATTGTGCCGAGAAGTACAAAGGGGCATGGTGGTTTTATAGTTGTTCGTACAGGTATAGCAATCATTTTCAATTACATATTATTTTTTGTTTTGTTTTCAATTTCTTTTCGTAACTTTTCATTGCAGTCATCTATTTGGACCATATAGAAAAGGAGAGAATATAAATTCAGATGGCATTCAATGGTATTTTTGGAAAAATGATTTTTATTATTCATTTAAATACGCCGAAATGCTCATTAGAGCAAAACCGGCATAATTATATATTTTTAATGTTTCTAACATTGAATATTGAAAATAAATATACATATGTCAAGTTTTTCAGACTTTCTCAGTCTGCTTGCAAGAAAAGAAATCCATTTTTTATTTATTTTCTAAGAAAGGATGAATTTATTCAAGAATATTTTGATGCTGTCAAAGTAATTACAGCCGGGTATAATGCACTTCTGTCCAAGGGAGTTTACCAAATTCAGATCCAAATTTCTCGCAGTTTTGTTTTAGATTGGGGAAGCCAAAGAATGAAAATCACCTATGGGCTTCAGGTATTTTCAAAAAGAGTTGAGGTAAGTATACTTAAAAGAATATTGAAAAATTAAAAATTTACATTGGCTATTGTTATCACAAAAATTAAAGAAATTGATCTTGGAAATATATTGAAAACCATGTAAACACGTCATTTAGTTTGGATATGCTGAACATTTTATACTCTACACAGTATGCCTTAAATCGGTTGGGATCTTATGTTGAATCAGAGACCTACATTGCCTAATTTCGATAAATATGTATGAAAGCCCTCAGGAACCCTTTGTTACAAATTACAGTCATGTCGGTGGGGGGAAATCTAGCCAAAGCCTTCCAAAATATCGAAAATGAATCGGTACCGTTATATGGAAGCTATACCAGAACGTGGAACGATATTGATTATTTTTGACAGGGAAGATTTGAAACCCCATTAGAAGCTGAAATAAACAAATTAGAGAAAATTCGATTGAAAAATTCACCGAAAATACGGTATAAGGTGGGTGTACCATTAGATGGGTAGACTTTCCGGAATTACAGGTCGTTACTGATAATTTTTTGGTGGACTGACAACTCAAAAATCATCAAAAATATGTAAAATTACAGCAAATTTGGTTGAAAAATGTGTCAAAACCCTTCAAAATACCGAATATTTGGGGGTACCATTATATGGGGGCTATACCAAAAATTTAATCAATTTTGATAACTTTTGGTAGGAAGATGTATTGCCCAAAGAGAACCCTAAATACTAATATTCTGCTGTTTAGGTGGAAAAACGTAAACAAAAACTCCCCAAAATACCGAATATTTGGGAATACCCTTATATGGGGGCTATTCTAAAAACTGATACAATTTTGATAATTTTTCCTAGGAAGATGTATTACTCAATGAAAACCCAAAATACCATATTACAGCTGATTAGGTTGAAAAACGTGTCCAAGCTCCGCAAAATACCGAATATTTTTTTTTGGTACCCTTATATGGGGGATACCCCGAAACAGTAGCCTATATTGATAATTTTTGGTTGAAAAAATTTTCTTTCAAAAGAGAATCGAAAATATTAAGATCCCAAAAATAGCGAATAATGAGAGGTGCCGCTCTGTGGGGAGTGGATCCTTAAATCACACACCTAATACCAACCAGTAAGGAAAGTAGTAAAGTCGGACGGGGCCGACTATATGATACCCTTCACCACCATGGGTATATTAAACAGGACTATTAACATAAAATTGGATGAAATAAAATATGTGATATTTATCTAAATGTGAATCTACCTAGATCCATCCATAAAGTATGTCAATCGACTTCAAACAAATATAAATAGGTCATCCGTTGGGGTATGTCTGTACTTCTAGAAAACGCAACTACGTAATTCTATGCTCAATTTTGTACGTTTTGCAAAATTTGATGTCAATCTGACTACATGAGGAGTCTGATGCCCAATTTACTTGAAATCGGGCGAAAATATATATGGAAGCTCTATCCAAATATTAAGCGATTTCAAACAAACTTGTCACAGGTTAGGTTATACTAATTTCAGAACGTTTTGTTTCTATTGGTTCCTTGGTGCGCCAATTACTAAAAACCAATCTATAATAAAAGGGAGCTATATCTAAATCAGGACCGATTTTCACGAAACTTGGCAGACATCACTCTAGGCTCAATTCAGTACGTTATGCCAAATTTCGTGCAAATCGAAGGATACATAGGGACTTAGGTGCACCATTTACATGAAATCGGACGAAACTATATATGGGAGCTATATCTAAATCAGGACCGATTTTCATGAAACTTGGCAGACATCATTCTAGGCTCAATTAAGTACGTTATGCCAAATTTCGTGCAAATCGAAGGATATATAGCGACGTTGGTGCACCATTCACATGAAATCGGACGAAACTATACATGAGAGCTATATCTAAATCTGGACCGATTTTCTCGAAACTTGGTAGACATCATTCTAGGCTCAATTCAGTACGTTATGCCAAATTTCGTGCAACTCGAAAGATATATAGGGACTTTGGGGCACCATTTACATGAAATCGGACGAAACTATATATGGGAGCTATATCGAAATCGAAACCGATTTCCTCGAAACTTGGCAGACATCACTCTAGGCATAATTGAGTACGTTATGCCAAATTTCGTGCAAATCAAAAGATATATAGGGACTTTGGGGCACCATTTACATGAAATCGGACGAAACTATATATGGGAGCTATATCTAAATCTGGACCGATTTTCTCGAAACTTGGCAGACATCACTCTAGGCTTAATTCAGTACGTTATGCCAAATTTCGGGCAAATCGAAAGATATATTGGGACTTTGGGGCACCATTTACATGAAATCGGACGAAACTAGATATGGGAGCTATATCTAAATCTGGACCGATTTTCATGAAACTTGGCAGACATAATTCTAGACCTAAATGATTAGGCTGTACTAAATTTCGTGCAAATCGAAAGATATATAGGGACCGTTTACATTAAATCGGTTAAATATATATATGGGAGCTATATCTAAATCTGAACCGATTTTTCCCAATTTCAATAGGGTTCGTCTTTGGGCCGAATAAGGGACTTGTGCCAAATTTCATCCAAATCGGATCATAAATGCGACCTGTACTTTTTTACAATTTAACATCAACAGACGGACGGACGGACGGACATGCATAAATCGACTCAGAAAGTGATTCTATGCATATTCTCAAAAGGAACCATGGGTCTATCTCGATTCCTTTTGCCTGTTACAAACATATGCACAAAGACATAATACCCTGTACCACAGAGTGGTGAAGGGTATAAAAAAAATTATGAAATTGAGAAAAAATGAGAAAACATGTTTGGCCAGATTCCAATAGAGATTAGATTGTGTGGCATTATTATACCCATCACCACACTGTGGTGCAGGGTATTATGTCTTTGTGCATATGTTTGTAACAGGCAAAAAGGAAACGAGATAGACACAGATTTAGATATAGTTCCCATATATATTTTCATCCGATTTACGGTAATTGGTCCACCAAAGTCCCTATAAATTTGCACGAAATTTGGCACAGCGTTCTGAATTAAGTCTATAATGATGTGTGCAAAGTTTCGTAAAAATCGGTTCACATTTAGATATAGCGCTCATATATATTTTTGTCCGATTTTATGTAAATGGTGCACCAAAGTCCCTATATATCCATCGATTTGCACGAAATTGGGCACTGTGTACTGAATTAAGTCTGGAAAGATGTGTGTGTTTATTTCGTGAAAATCGGTTCAAATTTAGATATAGCTCCCATATATTTTCATCCGATTTAAGGTAAATGGTGCACCAATGGTGCACGAAATTTGGTATAGCGTTCTGAATTAAGTCTAGAACGATGTGTGTTAAATTTCGTGAAAATCGGTTCAGATTTAGATGTAGCTCCCATATATATATATATATATATATTCATCCGATTTTAGGTAACTAGTGCACCATTCGTTCATCTTCAAAAAAAATGTTTTTTTTAATAAAATTTATTTTTTTTTTACTTTTATTTATTTTTTTTACTTTTATTTATTTTTTTTTACTTTTATTTATTTATTTTGTTGTTGTTGTTGTTTTTTTTTTGCCCTACATAACAGAAAACTTAACAGCACATACAGATAGATACACATACAAATATGTAGTTAATTCACAATCTTTGGTTATTGCTGGGGTTGACGGGGAAACGAGCGAGTGGGCGGGCTCTAAATAAAATTGCTCTCATTTTCGCATACCAATGTGGGACAGCAACCGGGATATGGTTGACGTGGATCACGGCCAATGCTGCAGGTGGCATTGGGTACTAGATTATGGCGACCACAGCTTGAAAAGGAAATAATTTATTTATTTATTTATTTAATTTTTTAATTAAAATAATTTCAATTTTTGCCCTTTAGCTACTCACTATTCCATGACCAAAACATAATCCGAACGGCAAAAGATACGCTCACAATGATCCTCCAAATTGATGGGGGAGAAGGATTGATTTTTGGAAATGGGTTGTTTTAGATCTTCGTAATAACACTGGTTGGGATAGTCTAGTACAGGGTAATAACAAAAACAACAATAACAACAACATGTTAAAAAATTTGTTGTTTTTTTTTTTTTGTAATATTTTACCTGGATGCACAGCATTGCCACGATAGCGAACATCTGCCACAGCATTAACAATTAACATGGCAACAACAACAAAGGTGTTAAGGAATTTCATGTTTGTTTTTGGTTTTTTTGAATTTATAATTTTTTTGTATTTAAAAAAATCTCCAACAACTTTGAGAATTTAATAAAAATAAAACGTTTAATTTTTGTTGCTCTCCTCCGATCTTCTTTATGCCACTTACAATGGACGACTGTTGTAGATTGAATTAATTTTTGTTGCTTTTATATAAAATTAATTACTTGCCCAGTTATCCAGTCAACAACAACAACAATAAAATAAATAAAACAACAACAACAGCAACCCACATAGATATACATAGTATGTACGTCATTTCAATTCACTGCTACTGTGAGGAATATTCGTTGTTGTTGTTGTTGTTGTTCTGACAATTGCTTGGCTGTCTACTTAAATCAATGAAGTGGGTACTACTGCATTTCTAAGATAGCTGGAAACTTTGTTTGGGGTTAGATTTG